CAATGGCTGATTTTTTGTAAGTAAACAGATCACCAGGCCTTTCTTCCAAGGAGCCTCTGGGTAGACTCGAACCTCCAGTCTTTCGGTTAGTAGCCAAGCATTTATACCATCCAGGTACTCTGTTTGAGGTGTACAGGACAGTAGGTAGAATTAGCCAGAAGCAGGGAGACCTGCTCAGCTATCGCTGTAATCAAGTTGCTGTCTGTAAGGCCCTAAGCCAGGTTAGTGATGACAGTGAAAAACAATAAAAAAAAAAGAATCAGCAGAATTAGCAACTGAGTGAATACAGAGAAAGGCTGAGCCATGAGAGGCTGTGTCAGGGTAGATGGAAGGATGGTAAAGGTGGCAAGCTGAAGGGAACAGGTCTGCATCTCCCGCCGAGGAGTTTCAGCTGCTGGTCAATTAGCAGTTAGCTGCCCCTCAGCACCAAACCTTTATCCCTGAGGCCTCCATTTAAAAGTGAGATCCAGAAACTGCCCTGCATTTTACGCTGGGAGCTTTTGATCCAACAAGCTCCAATGCCTTGACTCACCAGGAGGACACCCACTTAGAGTGGCACAAACGGTTAAGCACTTGACTACCAGCCAAAAACGCTGGTGGTTGGAACCACCCAGAGGTGCCTCAGAAACAGGCCTGGCTACCTGCTTTCAAAAGGTTACAGCCATTGAAAACGCTATGGTGCTGTTCTACTCTGCACACATGGGGTCGCCATGAGTCGAAATCAACTCAACACCAACTAATAACAACAATCTTCTTTGAGAGGAAATGCAGATAGATGCCAGCAGAGCATTGTATCCAAATAATACAAGCACCTTCTTGTGCCAGGCCCTGCTCCACATGCTGGAGATTCAGCAATGAACACAGGTCACTGCCTTCCTGGGGCTCACGTGCTAGTGGCTGAGAGGAACGAGACAAAAGGGGGTGCCTAGGATGCATTATGAAAGGAGCCCTGGTGGTGCAGTGGTTAAGTGCTCAGCTGCTAGCTGAAAGGTCAGCAATTTGAACCCACCAGCCACTCTGCAGTCTGCTTACATGAAGATTACAGCCTTGGAAACCCTATCGGACAGTTCTACTCTGTCTTATAGGCTCACCATGAGTCGAAATCAGGTAGAGTGCATTATGAAGCTGACCCAGCTCCTCCTCCCCATCCAGAGCACTTCCACAGGCCTTTTCACATACCACTGCCTTGGCCGCCTCTCCACCTGGCACCAACTACTGCCTAGGAAGCACTTAACTACTTACTCAATCACTGTTATCCAAGAAATAAATACTCTACGCAGTTTAGTGACCAAGACTCCAAAATGCTCAGGCTAAAAAACATCCTACCTGGAGAGGTGCTTGAAGTCAGTGAAACCCAATTATTTGTCTCCATATTAGTTTCTTCCCGTTGTTCCAAGAAGTTCTGCAGTTCTAGAATAGGCTACAGGGGCCAGCTGTATAAAATCTATTAATTCTTAACAATTCATAAGGCTTTCTTACATAGTTGGGTTATATAAAAAATGCTTTCCCAAAGCCATTTAAATTTCAAATACAAGCTTCCTTATAATGCACATAGTGAAAAAGGGTGAAAAGCTTGAGAGGCCATATGTGCCAGAAAGATCACAAAAGATAAGCACTTACTGCCGTACTCAAGTAGTTTTAAATATATGGATAATTTTTTAAACGTTGAACTGTCTGCTTCATCACAATATAGCTTGTGCCAATTTAATATACTACAGTCAAAACAGCAAGCTGGCAGAAAATATTTTTTCTATATTGCCTTGTTAACCTCACAAAAACACACACACAAAAAAAGCCATGGCTCTTATCTAACCAAAGTAATGTTTTATTCCACATAACACTTCAGACTGCATTGTATCACCTCAGCCCCCAAACACACACACACATACACACTGTGTACAATAACAGATACAGCCCGGAGTCAGGTGGGAGACCAAGAAATCTAAACACAAAGACACAATGTTAACAACTCATGAAAGGAGGCTTGAGCTTCCCCAATTTCTGTTGTTGTTGTGCAGTCAATTTCAACTCGTAGTGACCCTATAGGACAGAGTGGAACTGCCCCATAGGGTTTCCAAGGCTGTAACCTTTACGGGAGCAGATCGCCAGGTCTTTTCTCCCGAAGAGTAGCTGGTGAGTTCAAACAGCGGACCTTTTGCTTAGCAGCCGGGCGCTTAACCCTTGTGCCACCAGGGCTCCTCCAGTTTCCTAGTTACCGTAAAAGGGTTTAACATACTCATTCACTATTTCAGAGCGCTTGGGTTGCCAGTCTTTAGTGGTGGACTCCAGGCACACAGCATATCAAAGATGGAAGGTGAAGTCAAGTTACTACTTTGAGTCATAAAAAAATTGTAGTTTTCTAAGTTTGTGTCAAATGTGGCCAGTTAATGGCACTCTGAAGAACAAGGGTACTACAGTCCATTTTTAAGTTATCTTTATTGCTGGGCTGTTCCACGGACTTTCAGAAGTACCAAGAATCCTCTGTTCTCTGATGGGTAGTGCAAAATGTGCGTATCTGGCCCAGCCTTGAACACTGGGGGATGCAGGCTAAGCGTGTGCACTATTGGGAGATAGGGGTAGGCGGGGGAGCACTTCTGAAACTCAGGATGAGATTTCTGCGAGCTACTTGTACTCATAATAGGGCTGAAGAAACCAAGTAGGGAGAGTCACCAGGGCTCAATTAAGTCACGTTCATTTTGACAGCAGCCCAAGAGCCAAATCCTTTTCCTCAGAGGTATACCAACTTCATCTGTGGATACAAGGCAGGCATTATGGAAGATACTCAGTATAAACAGTGTTGCTGTTAGCGCTATGGACACACACACTAAAGTTACTTACGAAATTAAGCACCTTTGTTTTTAGTAAAAGGAGCCCTGGTGGTGCAGTGGTTAAGCACCAGCTGCTAACCTAGAGGATGGCCTTCGAACCCTCCAGCCGCTCTGCAGGAGAAAGATCTGGCAGTCTGCTTCCATAAAGATTACAGCCTTGGAGACCCTATGGGGCAGTTCTACTCTGTCCTATAGGGTCGCTATGAGTCAGAATTGACTCAACAGCAATGGGTTTTGCCAACAACTTAGAGGCCCTGAGGCAGTATAAATAAATAAATAAATAACTTTGATGTTACGGGACTCCTCCACAACCACCAGAACAATTATATACAAGTCTTCTTTCTAAAACTCCTTATTTAGAATATACGTACTCTAAAACTTAAGTTTAGACACAAGGTGTCAGTTATCTGAAGTAAAAGAAGCTTGACTCCAAAGATAATAAATTTTCCATGGTCAGGAACAAGAGTGTCAAAGGAGAGGACCACTGTGATCCACCTCAGCTGGCTTCAGAAAAGTCAGCATTCTCTGACTATCCCATACCCTCACAACTGCAGAGACCAATGTCTCTGGTCTCACTCTCTCAGTAATACCTCTGGGGATTTAACACACACAGCACAATTCTTGGTAAGTACTTGCACCACCTTCATGGCTGCCTGGCTTGATTCCTTGCCTGCTTGCTTCCTTGCCAAGTTACTCACGTTGAAAGGTTAGCGTAGCCAACAAATGGCCACCCTCCCCAGAGGGCAGCTGGGCCAAGCAAGGCAGCTACGTTAGGAGGATTTAATAATCTTAACTTTATTTCTTGGGTGCTTCAGACTCCTAACCCATCTACCAAATACTGAATAACCAAGTTGTCACAATACAAATGACTGCATACAAAACTAGCCTTCATTAAAAGTTTATCATAAGAATACTTATTACATGTGCTTCATTGTTTGCATGTTATACTTCTATAAAACAGACACACACAGTTAAAAAGGAAGCAGGTCCCAATTTAAGACAAGAAGGCTCTATACTGAAGCCTTCCTGCGGGGGTGGGGAGGTGGGGACTGAGGTCATCCCTCCCGCAGAGTCCAACCCTACAGTCAGTTCCACTGAGGATGCGTTGACACAGGTTGTCAAGAGAAACTCTCCAGGCATTTCTCCAGAAGTCCTCCCTTATTTAGCGGTAGCACAGTTTCGTTTTCTCACCTGCCTGCGTTCTGTGTTTAGGTGTACAGAGTACTAACCTGCACGTGTCAAGTTCCTCGCCCTCCTCCGACTGCCCTCCCACTCCACTCCCTCCTCTGCCTGCAGATCTGTGAAGAAGTACCCAGACTGCGACACCTCCCGGGCAGACGCGCCGCTAAGCCACCAGCGGGCATCGCTATCCAAGTCAACTTTCTCGTCATGGCTTTTAGCCTACATGGTAAGCAAATATCATCCCTAAAAGGGGAGGAACGAGGTTTCACAGACATCGTATTCCCGAGAAGTTTCCGAGAGACGCACAGCACACAGGCCACTCACTTCGGTCACTTTGCTATTTACGGTGTCCACAGTCGACTGTGAGTCCAAGAAAAGTTAGGGCGCTCCACCAACTCCTTCAAAACCCAGACCTTGGCACCGAGCCTAAGAAAAGCACCTCCCCCTTCCCAGGTCTGACACAAGTATCGCTTCTCTGGGAACGCCCTGACCGCTGCGTCTCAAACTGCGCTTTCTGAAACCGCCGAATTCGAATGCGCGCTCGCGGAAGCGCAGGGGCATACCGGAGGGACCGCAAGCCAAGGGCAAGGTGACGGGGGCGCCGTCTGGTCCCGGGAAGGAGATGAAGGACCCGATCACGCACTCTTCGGCCGCCCCGCCTGCGCCCGGTCAGCGCACAGCCCGAGAAACGCAGGCAGCAGGAGCTCGCTGAAGTTTGCCAAACCCCGGCAGAAGTCTCTGGAAAGTTGTAGCTCTGTCTCGCAGTGTCTCGCCTGGCCCACCCATGCGGGGTGCGTATGTGGAGGGAGGCACCACGAGAGACGGAGGGGAAGGGAGCACCGGGTCTGGGCACCTGTCCGCACCTCTCCTCCGGCCCCGCCGCAAATACTTGAGCGCAGCTCGACGGGTACAGACCCCCGAAGGCAGCGCGCGTGGCTCACTGAGGGCGCCGCATCTTGGTACCTTTAGAGGAGGGGGCCGTGCACTCACCTGGACGGCAGAAGAGGAGGCGACAGAGGCAAGACCTTGGCGTGGGCAGCCCCCAGCAGGAGCAGCGCGGCCACTACAGCTCCAGGCAGCTGCACAGAGTGAGCGGTCCTGCCGCCGCCCCCTCCGCTCTTATACGGCCTGACCACGCCCCTGCCCCCGCCCCTAAGCCTGCCCTCCCGGGAGAGCCGGGGGAGCGAGGCGGGGCCAACCCCGACCGGCTCCTTCCTCGGGGCGCTGACGAGCGAGGGAGGGCGAAAAGTGCCCTCTGATTGGCTCCTCTGGTGAATGGTTGCCGAGAGACAAGTAAATTTTCAGCCGCGCGAACAGGCGGTGGGCCCTATAGCCAGGTAGCACTGCGCAGGCGCAATAGAGAGGGGCTGCGTAGCCCTCCCCTTAACTTGGGGTTACCAGGGCGCGCTTTTTTTCTCCTTTCACTGGACTCTTTTCTGCCTTTCCTACCTTACGACTTTTCCCCTAAACTTTTCTACCTCTTTCCCGCACCCCTGCACGCCTGTTTTTCTTCTCTTTCTCTGAGGCTTTTCGCGCTGGTCCTCCCTCCCTCCCTCCAGGAGTGGGGAGTGAAACCCCCATGCCTACCTCCAGCGTGTGCTTCTGAAGTTGGAAAAGACCCCTGGTTTCTGGGCCCGGGTAACTTTTCTGATTCCTCAAGCAAATTGCCTGGAGGTAAAGGGGTGCTCATTGGGGTAAGGGCCGGTGCACTTTGTTCTCTCCGCAGCTACCACCTGTATGCAGTTAGTGGCACTAAAGGCCTCAGGGAATTCATCGCCAATCCCCGCAACCACGACTGCTTCAGTCCTACTCCGGATGTGTCACAAAGCTCAGTCGTGTAAGTTATATAACAAGCAAGCGGGAATTGGACACCATCCATTCATTCCATAGCAAGTGGTTAAGAGCCCAGATTCTGAATTCAGACTAACCTGGCTCCCGATCTCCATTCACCACTTAACCATCTGTGAAACAAACAAAAAACCATTGCGGTGGAGTCGATTCTGATTCACAGCGACCCTATAGGACAGAGTAGAACTGCCCCATAGGGCTTCTAAGGAGCGTCTGATGGATTCGAACTGTCGACCCTTTGGTTAGCAGCCAAGCTCTTAACCACTGCACCACTAGGGCTCCAACTATCTGTAAGGCCTTGGGCAAATAATTTAACTCTCCAGAAACCTCCATTTCTTCATCTGTAGAATGGGACTAAAATGGAAGGGCTATGTAGGATTATATAAGGATTAAATAAGGAAATGCATGGAAACTATTAATTAGTGCAGTGCTTGATATAAAGTGTGTGTCATATGTATATCAAATAATAGCTATTGATATTTATCAATAAACATTATTGAACTCCTACTTTGTGCCAAATCCTCTGCTGGGTGCTGAGGAAAAGGTTACTTCCCAAATGAAGTATTTGCCTACCCCTCCCTCTTTCCTTCCCTGCCTGAATTAAGTGTGGTTCTCAATGTCTGCCAGGCTATAAACAATTCTCAGATATATGCCTGCTCTAGGAGGGTCTCCTGGAACATTTATGGAAAGCCACAGTGACCCTATTGTTTGTCCTGAAATCAGGATATATAGTCTGATAATTATTTTTTACTTTTTGTTTTTGAAGTATAGCTGTTAGTAAAGTGCACAAATCTTAAGTCTGCAGAATGAAGAATTTTTAAATATGTAACCAGCACCCAGATCAAGATATAGAACGAATAATTCCCAGTTCCCTCATGCCCCCTCCCATTCAGTATCCCACAAGGGCAACCACTGTTCTAATCTTTATTGTCAGAGATTGATTTTACCAATGTTTGAACTTGTTATAGATGGAATAACATAGTGTGTGTTCTTTTGTGTCTGGCTTCTTTCTCTCAACCATATGTCTATGAAATTCATCTATGTTGTGTGTAACAGTGGTTTATTCTATTTCGTTGCCGTGTATTATTTCATTATATGAATATTTTACAATTTATGTAGTGATTCTACTGTTGGTGGACATTGGGGTTACTGCAAGTTTTTGCCTATCATGAATGAAGATACAAACATTTTTATACAAGTCTTTTGTTGGACATAGCGTTCATTTACATTGGATATATACCAGGATTACAATTGCTGGATCATAGAGTATACACTCTCTATGAGCCCTGGTGGTGTCGTGGTTAAGAGCTCGGCTGCCAGCCAAAACGTTCGGGTCCACCAGCCACTCCTTGGAAACACTATGGGGCAGTTCTGTGTCCTGTAGAGTCACTGTGAGTCGGAATTGACTCAATGGCAATGGGTTTGGTTTTTGGTTCAGAGTATATGCACATTTAGCTTTAAATATAGTGCCAAACAGTTTTCCAAGGTAGTATACCAATTTATCTTCCAACCAGTGATACAAGATTTCTGGTTGCTCCACATTTATGCCAGTATTGGTATTGTCAGTCTTCTAATTTTAAAAAGTGAAGTGTGTGTCTCATTGTGATTTAAAATTGCATTTCTCTGAAGACTAATGATGTTGAGCACCTTTTTATGTGCTTATTGACCATTTTGATATTCCTTTTTGAGAGGTGTCCACTCAAGTCTTTTGCCCATTTTGGAGGGCTATCTGTCTTTTCCTAATGATCTGTAGGAGATCTTTTTATATTATGGATGTGAGTCCTTTGTCAAGTGTATGTATTACAATTACAAATACCTTCTTCTCCTAATCTGTGGCTTACTTTTCATTCTCTTCATGCTGCCTTTATGTTGAACAGAAATCCTTAATTTTAAACAAGTTCAATTTATTAATCTTTTATGATTAGTGCTTTTTGTGTCGGTTTAAGAAAATTTTACCTATCCTAAGGCCATACATAAAGATATTCTCTTACACTTCCTCCTAGGAGCTTGATTGTTTTAACTTTCACATTCAGGTCTATGGTTCATCTCAAACTAATTTTTTGTATAGTTTGGAGTCAAGATTTATTTTTTTCCCATCTAGATATCCAATTAATTCAGCATTATTGGCAAATACTTTTGTTGAATGAATGAATGAATATTTGTTGAATGAAAAGTTTAAGAGAACAAAGCGACTGGTTACTTAAAATCCAGATTGTCCAGAAAAATCCAAGGCATATGATGATAATAAAATTAATGCATTATGTTGTCACATTACATTGGCCCTCTGACCATTTCTACTTTTTTAGTACCTCATGGATGCCATTAGCACAGATCGCCTCAGGGTAGAACATAAGATAGATATTCTTACCTAGAATTACCTTTGATCTAGCATGGCTTGGTTCCATCTTTGCTTAGGTGAAATTTTGTTCCACTTCCTTTTAGGTAATTCTGTAGTAGGGAGGAGGGGGCTGGGCAAGAGCCAAAAAAGAAATTATTTATTCATATATGTGTCTATTTTTTCCTTGGGCCTCTTTTATTTATTCTTGGGACATTACTTGACTTTTCTAGAGTTTTGTTTGTCTTTTTTTTTAAAAAAAAAAAAAACACTGTTCTTTCCAGGGGTTGGAACTGGAATGAACCCCTACTAACCAGTTTGAACCCCTGCTGAGAATTTGCATTTCCACCCCAGATACACTGAATCAGAATCTACATTTTCACAACCTCCCCAGGTGGTTCTTATGTAGAATAAATTTTGAGCACCGCTGCTCTATAGTGGTTCTCAGAATTGGTCCCTAACCAGCAGTATTAGCATCGCCTGAGAACTTGTAAGAAATGCAGATTCTCAGCAGGGGTTCTAACCAGAATGAACTGGAAGGAACTGGTTCAAAGCCCTGGTTCTTTCTACCTTCATAAAACTGTTGCATCTCGGACCTAGAAGGAGTCTCCGGAAGTCATCAGATCCTGCCCATTGGACATGGAACCAGATATTAAAACTGTACTTTCCAAGATTATTGCCTCCTTCTTGCCAAATTCCAGCCTCTGCTGGAACACATCCACTCAAAAAAATTTAAGACCTTCTTTGCATTCTTAGTGAGTCACTGATTTAGACCTAGGAAAGCTGAGGAAGGGGAGAGCAGAGGGAGGAAATATTTTTACTAATGCAGGTATGCCCCACTTCAGCAATGACCTTAAAAAAGTTGTATGTCTCTATAGAATCTTATTTTAGATACACCAGGGAAGCAAAGAAAATCTACCATTAATCCTTCTGTAAGGCAAGAAAAACCTTTTGTGTAGTGTCTGATTATCCCCTGATTTATCAGTTTAAGTCTTTTGAGTTTTTGTATTTTATCTTAAGGTAGATCACTATTATATAATGCCTTCCTCTAAATGTCTTATTCTTTTTTTTTCCAAAGTAACAAATGCACTTTTAATTGATCTACAAATAAAAACTACACAGCGCAAGTCAGTAACCATTTCTGCTCCTAATCTGTTAGAGCCATATCTCAGATAGTCCAAGGATCTGGGTTAACTGGTTATTTTCATTACTTAACTTCAACTGAAGTAGTAAAAGAAATAAGGTGCTACATCTGTTTAGATCAAATGCTTGGCTGACATCCACATCCAGTCTATTATATTCTGGATTTTTTCTTTAGCTCTTCTACTTTGTCTACATAAGCTTTCATAACATCTTCCATGGAGGTCCCTTTCAGCTCATTCCAGGCATCCCACTTGGCCTTGCCTTTGAAGTCCAACATCCCAGACCACTCTGTGTTTATGACGCCCACGGTGGCTTATTTGTAGCGGCTGTAGCTGAACAACATCTCATCGTCAGCTGGTTTAGTCTTGAGGTGTTTAACATCTTCGGCAGCTCTGTCAAACTTGGCCTGAGACATGCTGGCGGAATGGCAAGGATTCCGGAGAGCCCACAGAGGCAACGAGAAGGAAGATACAGCTCAAGACCAGACTGTCTTATCTTTCTTAAAATGATTAAAGTTTTTACTGAAGAGTAACATACATAAAGAGAACTGCACAAACCACAAGTGCAGAGCTCAATGACTTCATAGACTGAACAAACCTTGTCATCCCACACAGATCAAGAAAGAGAACCTGGCCAGTCCTCCTCCCACCCCCAACAAGAAGTCTTCCTCTTCCTCATTCCAGTCACTACCCCGTCAAAAGTAACTACTATCTTGACTGCTAATACCACAGATCGGTTTTGCCTGCTTTTGTAATGTATATA